TGCAAAGTTAAATGCTGAAAACATTTAGATATTCATTGTACATTTTCAGCAGTAATGGGAAGTGCTGCATTATGCAGGAGGGGACGTAAACACATTTACATGTGTGCATGTGAAATAACAAAAATATTGTCTTTCTCCCCCTCGTCCTATTTGTCTCTGTCTCTCAATCCCCTTTCCTTCCCACTCCTTCTGTGCCGTCTACTTCTTTCGTCTCTCGTTCTTTCTCTCCTGTTTCCTTTACTTCGGTTCCTGAATATTCTTACGCATCTTTCTATCTTCAATTTTTTTTCTTCTTTGTTCCTCTTATTTTTGTTTTTCCTACACTTTTCTCGTATTTCTATATTATCCATTATACCACTTCCAATTTTATCATATTTCCTTTTCACACCTGCTTCCTCCTCTTCTTTTTTCTCTTACTTCTTCTTCTTCTCTCGTCCTTTTTCTCCTCTTCTTCTTTTCTTTTATCTTCCTCTTCTACCAATTCTTCCTCTTTTCTTCTACCATCTTCCTCTTCCTCGCACTCCTTACTCTCCCTTTATTTCGACCCAACCACCTCCTCCTTTCACTTTTTTTCCTCCTCCTCCTCCTCCTCCTCCTCCTCTTCCTCTACCCTGCCTCCACCATCATCCTAAATCTTTTCCTCTCCTCTCTCCTTTTCCTACTACCTTCCTCTTCCATCCCCCTCCCCTCCTCCTACCACCTTTCCCCCTCTCTCCCCTCCCTTTCACCCCTCCCTTGCAACAATTTCTACCATTCGCCCCTTTCCCTCCCACTGACTCGAACCCGCCCCCCCTTCACCCCCTTCCCCTCTATCTATCCTTCCCATGCCTTTTACCTCCTTTTCCTCCCCTCCTCCTTCCTCTCCACACCTCCTTTGCCTTCTACCTCCTTCCCCTCCCCTACTCTCCCCCTTTCCACCCCTCTACCCCTCCTACACTTCTCTTCCACCTCATTCCCTTCCCTTCCTCCCCCTTTGCACTCCTCCACCCCTCCTATATCATTCCTCCACCCCCTTCCCGCCCTCCCTCCCTCCCCCCTCTCCCCTCCTCCACCCCTCCATCCCTCCACCCCTCCTATACCTTTCGTCCACTTCCTTCCCCTCCCCTCCTCCCCCTCTCCACCCCTCAACCCCATCCACCCCTCCTATATCATTCCTCCACCTCCTTCCCCTCCCTCCCTTCCTCCCCCTCTCCCCATCTCCCCCTCTCCACCCCTCCACCCCATCCTATACCCTTTCGTCCACTTCCTTCCCCTCCCTTCCTCCCTCCTCTCCACCCCTCCACCCCTCCACCCCTCAACCCCATCCTACACCCTCCCCCCACCTCCTTCCCGCCTTCCCCCTCCACAGGACATCGACTATGAGGGATTCCGACAGTTCATGGACACGTACTTGGAGGTTGACACGCCGGAGGAGCTGTGTCGCCACCTCTTCCTGTCCTTCGTGAAGAGGCCCCGCCCCCAGCCAGTCGAACCCAAGTCAATCAAGGTCAGGCAAGGTCACTGGAATGAGAGACTAAGGGGGTTACGAGAATGACCTTTCATGCTTTTTTTTTTCTTTTTTTCTTTTTTTTTATTATCTGGATGTTTGTTTATTTCGTCGGTATATACTTATTTTCTTGTTTTTTGTCAGTATTTACTTGTTTTGTTTTGGTTGGTTTATTCTGTTTTTGTTTATTTATAGGAGTTATTTATCAGGCAAGGTCACTGGAATCAGAGACTAAGGGGGTTATGAGGATGACCTTTCATGCTTTTTTTTTATCTGGCAGTTTGTTTATTTGTATATACTTATCTTCTTGTTTTATTTGTCGGTATTTACTTGTTTGTTTTGGTTGGTTTATTCTGTTTCCTTTTCCTATCTTCTTGTTTTTTGTTGGTATTTATTTGTTTTGTTTTGGTTGGTTTATTCTGTTTCCTTTTTATAGGAGTTATTTCTCAGGCAAGGTCACTGGAATGAGAGACTAAGGGATTATGAGGATGACCTTTCATGCTGTCTGTTTTTTCTTTCTTTTTTAATCTGGCTGTTTTTTTTTATTTCGTCGGTATGTACTTATCTTCTTGTTTATTTGTCTGTAGTTACTTGTTTGGTTTGGTTGGTTTTTATAGGAGTTATTTATCAGGCAAGGTCACTGTTACGAAGCTAGGGGACTCCCGGTGTCCTTGGTGTTTATTTGTTTATTTGTTTATTTAATTGTTATATACTTATGTCCTTCTTTTTCTCCTTGCTTATTTAATCGATTTATATACTTATCTTTCTGTTTATTGAGTCCTGTATATACTTAGCTTCTTGTTTATTTAGTCCTGTCTATTCTTAGCATTTTGTTTGTTTCATTATACACTTAGATTCTGGTTTCTTTGTCGATATGTGCTTATATGTATTTGTTTTGTTTGTCTGTTTGTTCCATTCATTTCATTTCGTTTATTTACATTTTTTTCTGTTTAGTTTATTTCTAACTTGAGGTCTGAGGGCGGAGTGGGTGAATATTGCTATTTTCCTCCTCCTCTTCCCTCTCATCTTTAGGATTAGGATTATTGCTATCATTATCAACATCATTATCAACATCATCGTCATTATTATTGTTATTATTATTATAATAATAATTATTATTATCATTTTGATTACTACTATTATCATCATCATTACCTTTACTATTACCATTACCATTATTATTATTATCTTTATTGCTATTATTATTGTTAGTAGTAGTAGTAGTAGTAGTAGTAGTAGTAGTAGTAGTAGTAGTAGTAGTAGTAATATTATTATTATTATTATTATCATTATTATTATTATCATAATCATCATTATTATAATCATCATTATTATAATCATTACTACTATCATCATCATCGTCACCGTTCTTATCATTATTATCATTGTCATTATTATTATTATCATTATCTTTATCATTATAAGCATCAACATCATTATTACTATTGTTGCTATTACTATCATTATTACTATTATCACTTTTATTATTATTATTGCTATTATTATCATCATCACTGTCATCATCATCAGATCATCGTCGTCGTTATTAGTATCATTATTGTTACATAATTACCCTTACTAGCATTGAAATTTTCATCATTATCATTAATAACAGCACTATAACCATTTCCCTATCATCACCATCACTTAATCTTAATTTCTAATCTATCGAATACAGTTTCATTGAAAGAAATGGAAGAATTGAGTTAATAATACTTTTTTCTTCTACAACAGCAAATCAATTGACATTTCAACTTAGGAATTTAAGAAAGTTTCCCCTAAGAATCAAGTTTGTATTGGTTAGTGCATTTTGTCATTATATAATATTGAAGATTATGTTACCATATCATCATGAACACATTGCTATGATATCACACTTACGTAGTTATTTAATGATAGGATATTTTATATCATTATATAAATTTTAAAAATCATGATATTATATTTTACCTTATTTGAGTAAGGTTATGAAAATAAAACAAAACTGATTACCGGAAATAAAAAATTAAAAAAATGGAAGCATTTATACAAGCAGCATTCGAATGTAAGATTTTAAATAAATAAATAAATGAATAAAAAATAAACAAACAGAAAAATAAGATCCCAGCTATAATAAAAAAGGAAAAATTAAGAAAAATAAATGAATGAATGACCCCCTCCCCCCAAAAAAAAAAGGAAAAAATAGAAAATGAAGGAATTGAGTCTCAAAGAAGAAGAAAACTGAATGAATGGATAAATAAATAAACACAAATGTGAATAAATAATCAGATGAATGAATAGATATACGAATAAATTAATAAACATCAGAACATTTATTAAACAAAAGTATATGAATATTTTAAAGAAAAAGTAAAGAAATAAAACAAATAAATTGTTAAAAAGAGACATTGATAAAAAAGCAGGTAATGAATAAGTGAATAGATGTATGAATAAATAAGACAAGTGGATAAGTAAACAGGAAAAAATAGATAAATTGGTTAAAATATTTATAGATAAGTGAATTAATTTATAAATGAATTGCTAGAAGGATATATTAAGGGATTTAGGAATAAGTGTGTTAATATCATAAATAATTAAAATCAGTAAAACCAAAAAAATAAAAAAAATGGATAAAGTGATGAAACAAACAAATAAACATACAAAAACAAAGAAAAAAAGAAAAAAAAATCTCGTTTTCTCTGACCTAACTTGACCTCCTCCGTCGACCCCTTCAGGAGATGGCTGTCATGTCCTCGGCGACGGCCTGCGCCCCCATCACCTCCCACAACACCTCCGGAGGCTCCATCAGCAACCTGGCCACGTGCTCCGTCGGGGAGGCCATGAGTGGAGGCAGTGGAGGAGGAGGTGGAGGAGGTGGAGGAGGAGGTGGAGGGACGCTGGCGGAGAAGCTGCATGGCCTCACCGAGAAGTTCTCCTCCTTGGGCCACAACAGGAGTGACTCGGAGGCGTCCAGTCGTACCAGGACAGGTCAGTGCCTTCGTCAGGACTGGTCAGGATAGGTGGTGGGAAGTATGCGTTGTTTCTTTCTTTGTTTTGTTGTTGTGTTTTTGTTTTTTGTTTTCTGTTGTGTGTGTGTGTTCAAGTGATAGGCCTGTGTATGGTCTCTTTTCTTTGTTTGGTTTTTGTTGTGGTTATTTAAGTGATAGGGCTGTATATTTTCGGTATCTTGGATTTACGTGGTAGGCCTATAAATTAATCGTATTAGGTAATCAAGGTATTTAGTATACAGTATATAAGATAATTAAGGTATTTAGTACACAGTATATTTTTGAGGTATATGTTTCAGATATTCCATATTGTGTGGTCTATTTCTAGTGAATTATATATTTATGTGACATATATTTAGTATAATTTGCACATTAGTATATTGAGATTGCTTAGTGGGGCTTAAGTACGTTGATATTTAATGCCATGCAGCTCGCAGCTCCAAGAAAATATGTTTTTGAAACTGTTCCTTTAACAAACCCAAATTATGTTTATTCTCCATCATTCACGACTGCGCAACGCCAAGTAC